GAGACTCTAACTGTCTGCGTCTCTCTCAGCCCGGTGGGGGGCCGTCCAGTCGGCTAATTTTCATAAGGAATTTATGCTTCAATTTGGATCAAAATTTCGATTTTTCAATTTTTTTTTAAACTGCAAACTGCAAAATTGTCAGTCTCTCGAACTCTTTTTCTCTTCCAGGAACACAACTTCCAAGGGGATTAAATTCGAAATAAGGCTTCCAGGACTCGTAAAACCGGACATAAAAAGGCTTCTCTCTTCTTTTGGTCCCTCTTCCCAATTTTTGAAACACTTCCACTACATTTTTCTCTCTTTTCCCCTTTAGTCATCTCCAGATCCACTAGACAAGCTATAGAAAAAATTAGCGCGCTTTCAGAATGACCAAAGAGCTCAAAAAGTGCATTCGTGTGAATGCAATTTTAAAATTCCGAGGAAAAAACCCCAGAAAAAAAGGACCGGAAGAAAAAACAATAAGTATTCTGAAGTCGCGGGGGAATGAAGAATGGAGAGGGGGTGGTAAACAAACCAAAATGAGAAAAAAGAATACGAAAAAACGCGTACATAACGACTACATTTCGTACCCACGAAATTGCCAAGCGGGGGTTCGAACCCATAAGTGGCGACCCGAATGGGTGAGAGACAAAAGGCTACCCAGCTGCGCCAAGGAAGAACACAATATAATAAGGGTACATTGTAATTATAAAGGGTGGGTAAGTAAGAAGCGGAAGGGTCGTGAGGGAAACAGTGCGCTCCAAAAAGTGACAAAATACAGTATGCGTGGCTCATGTCTTCGGACATAGAAAATCTGCCCAAGGGTTCAATCCCCCACCGGTTTACTTTCTTTTTATTTACTTTTGCTTCTTTTTTGTTTCCAATTCTAAGATCAAAAACTAGTCAGAGTAGTTCTAAAAGTACAATTTTGTGTTAGACATGTGATTATAGCCACAAGTGCGAGGGTGGTGATTAAGCGGCTTTTAGGTCAGAAGATTATCTAATCATACATTTTTAAAGATCAAATCAAACCAAAAAAACGTACCGTACAACAGAAAAGCAGGTACTGTAGAAATGGAGAATAATAGAAGAAGAATAAAATGGAAGAAGCGCATGCGGGATGACACACAAATGCTCCTGCGCCGCTACTCCATAGGGCGCTTGCGCGATAAAGTGTCCAAAGCACCGAGAAGGAAAAGTGGGAGGGGCTAGTGAGAGGAAAGGGAAAGAGCTCTCTTTCCCTTCTTTCTATCTCTACGTCTTCTTCTTTTTTTTCACTAGTCACGTCTTCTGCTTCTGCTCCTTCCCTCGACACCGCCCCTCTCTCCCCCTCTTCTTCTATTGATCGTCCGCGGATTCTGGAAGCGTGGGGGGAGGTTTGACGACGGCTGCTTGACGGACGGACGACGGACGGACGACTACTAATAGTAGTAAAGCAGTTGGTCAAAAAAAGAGAGCGTTGTTTTGACATATGTTCCTTTTTTTTTGCTGTTGGAGCTCTTGAAAGACTTCGAATACTGAAAATAGAAATTAGGGAGAGTGGGAAATGAATACTGATTTGAAGGTAGTGCCAGAAGACTATAGCAGTACTTGAGAATGCTAAAAATGTAAACTAGGAGGGTTTGAAATTCTGAAATTCTGAATAAGGTTCTGAAAATCTAAGGTTTTGAGATTCCAACATTCCGAGTTTCTGAAAACCTGAAATTTCGAAAATCAGAAATTCTAAAATTCTGAAATTCCTGGAGATTTTGATATTTTGAGAACCTAAAATTCTGAAGTTCTGAAACTCTAAAATCCTGAATCTAAAACTCTGCGATTACGTTTTCTATGGAACTTCTTGATCACACAAAACCTGAAAAAATTCGATTCTGAAATTACAAATTTCCAAATCCTGACATCTTCAGATCCTGAAAGTCTGAAATATTTTATGGATTTCAAAAATGTTGGATTTCGGAAATTCATAGTTCCAGTCTTCTGACATTAAGTCGCTAGAAATCCATACAACTAATTCGAAATCCTCAAATTTGCGAATCCCGAAATCCCCAGACTTTCGATTCCGGAATTCCAAGGTTTTCAAAGTTTTTGTTTCTGAAGTGCTTGGAATTATAAAATTGTTCGAAACCTTTGGAACTTTCACAACTTTCAAGTATACAAACTTTTTGAAACTTTCAGATTTTTCAGAGGTTTTGAAGGTTTGCGATTTGGACAAATTTCAGTCGAAATCTGGTCATTTTAGGTCGTTTTTAGACTAATTTTCGAGACGGAAAACTCAACATTTTTAAACTTACGCGTGTCAGAAAAGAGACACCCACAAAACTAAATGCCATCATGTATTCATCCGGTTAAAGATAAGGATTAGTGAGTGATAAGTTATCACTGATAACCTTCTGACGTGGATAAATCTATTCAAAGGAGTTCTGGAAAAAAACAAAAAATTAGTTGATGACCAAGAAAGATGATCTGGAAATAAACCATAGAAATTACGAATTTTTGATTTTCTGGATTTCTAAGAAAATCTTAGAATCTCCGAATCTCAGAATCAAAATTTGAAGTTTTAGAATCTTCAGGTATTTCAGGCTTTCAGAAATTCAGAAATGAAAAAAATCAGAAACTTTAGGTATATCAGAGTTTGAAAAATTTCAGAATGTCAGAATACAAGAATCTCAAAAACTCGGAAGCTTGGAATATTGAAATCTTGGAATCTCTAGAATTTTAGAATTTCATAACTTTAGAATTTCTGAATTCCTGAATTTTCGAGTATCTTAATTTCTGAATTTCAAAATTTCTGAATCTTTCCTATTGTCCATCCTTCTATGACGCAGATACCACATGTCTAATTTTCCTGAAAATTCGACATTATCATTTTTATCACTTCCTTATCCCCTATCTAATCCCCATTCTCCCCCTCACATTTATCTGAAATTTTTCCAGAAACTCTATCTTCTTTTTCTCCCATTTTTCCCTAATCCAGATGACCTCAAAATACACGAATCCCTCTATTTTTCACATCAATTTCTGAGCCAATTTTCCTAAAAGGCGCGTCTATTTTAGCATAAAATTGTGTGTGTGTGTGTATCAAATTCGATGTGTTCTTGACCAATTCGAATTTTTTTGGGGCAAAAAAAAGAAATTCTGAATCATCTTTTCCCCGAAAATCGAAAAACGAGAATCTTCTCGAGAAAATGACACCTGACACTTTTTCTATACAACTACAAAAAAATGTGTGAGTGATATACAAAATACAAAAAAAAAACAAAAATTTATTTCACTATACAACTACAATTTTTTGGGTCTAGGAATTTTTTTCTAGCTTCTCGTGATCCAAAACTAATATTTTAAATGATGTGAGCAAAAAAGAGGAAATTTTGGATAACATTTAATTGAGCAATTATATTCAAAGACTTCTAGACTTCTGGAGGAAATTGAAGAACGATGCTGATGCAAAATTGGAAAATAATATTTTCATAGTAACGCGGAAATTGGGAAAATCCCATTTCCGAATTTTCAGAAAGGCAATCTTTTAAAATACCGTATTTCCTTTGTCAACTTTGAACTGAATTATCTCGATCCCTGTTAAAGATATCAGTCAACTGATAAAACATTTTCATAATATTATCAATATTTTATCAGTTGACTAAATTTTGATATCTTTTACAGGAATCGAGATAATTGAGCTCAAAGTTGGCATTTAGGTAGACTTCTACTAGGAGATACGGTAGACAAGTTTGAAACCCTACGAAAGTTATTAAAACCTGTTATATTTGTCTGAAATTTTTAGAGTATACTAAGCAAAACTAGAGCTTCATTTTTGTAACTGACAACTTGTTTCTAGCAAAAACAGTTTTTGAGTTATGCGCCTTTAAAGATGGGATGCTTGATTACCGAGAGAGGCGAGACGCAGACACCCAGTTTTTAGAGGCGCATATCTCAAAAACCAAAATAGACGCAAAAAAGTTGTCAGATAAAAATTCGAAGTTCTATTTTCGTTTAGTATAACCTGAATATTTGCAGTGCAATGGAAAATTCTGAAACTTTTTTTCCGAATTTTCAGAAATACCGTATTCCTTCTGTCAACTTTGAGCTCAATTATCTCAATTCCAGTAAAAGATATCGAAAACTTGTCAAGTAATAAATTAGTTATCATAATATCAGCAATATTTTATCAGTGGACAAATTTCTGATATCTTTCAGAGGAATTGAGATAATTGAGCTGAAAATGGACTGCAGAGATACGGTATTGGAATCTAATTGTAATTTAAAGAACTCCCAAACTTTGAAAAATCTCCACATTATGGATTCTTGGAATCCCGGACTTTTTAGAATCACATCATAATTTAAATTTCCAAGTTTTCTAATCAGAAATTTTCGCCATTTCCCAGCTCCCCCTGGAGACATTATGATCAAAATTTTTATTTTCTACTTTTTCCAAGAATTCCCATTCCGGGATTCTTTGAAAAAAGGGACAACATGAAATAATGGGAAAACCAGAAAGCACTCAAGAAAAGAAATAAAAAATGGGAAAATGGACTACGGTAGTTTATGGGTCTTTTGAGAATCAAAAATCGGTGGTGGGAGTGTGAATAGAAAAGGAAATTGAAATAAGGTGGGCTTATTCAAAAATAATGTTTTTTCAGAAATTGGTTTGTATGAAACATGGTGGAGCTTCTGATCTCAAATCTGAAATATTGGAAAACACGAACATTTTCAGGCACATTACCGTATTTGCCCCAATCGAAAGCCACCCTATATGTGCAGCTTGATTATTTCGGTTCTTTTAAAAGATATCAACAAATTTTGAACTGATAAACTGTTTATCATAATATCACCAATGTTTTATCAGTTGGGATACTTTTAATATCTCTCATAGGAACCGAGATAATTGAGCTTAAAGTGCACGTATAAGGGGGGCTTCTATTTGAGCACATACGGTAATCAACCATATTTTGAGGAGCACTTGATTTTTGATGTGAAAACAAAACATTAACAAATAATAATATTGCCAATCTGCGTTCCTCTAATCTTTTCGTATAGACCATCAACCTTCAGAACATATGATCAGATGACGTGGCAAGATTAGAATATGTACGACATTTAGGGGGGGGGGGGGGGAGGGGTGGAAATTAGATTAGAATCAAATTGAAGATTATCTGTTTGGAAATAGATCATGAGGGGAGTCATTGAATATCCAGATTTTGGGAGATTTGGAAGACTCCTTCCAGAAAGGGGACGAATTTGAAGTTGAAGAGATTCTAGGAAATTCTAAAAAAAAAGGTTCTGAAAATATAAATGAAGAATCCTATCAGGGATGTCCATTATCCTGATCCCGTAGTCTGTATTTCAAATTCTGAAATCTGTTAAATAGTTTCCGGATTTCAATGAATCCATTTTACTTTCCAGATTTTCAAAATTTCCAATTTTCAAAAACATTCCGGCATTTCAAAACAGTTATTCCAGATATCCCTTACCTAAAAAAACAGTTATCTCCGTCCCAATTTTTTTCTGATTTCCGGTCTCTCTCCCTTATAGAAAGGCCAATTCAGAGTACCTCATAAACTACCGTAGTCTCTATTATCTCATTTCCGAATCCCTTTTCTCTCTTTTCTTGAGTGCTTTTTGCTCATTATTTCTTCTTTTGAATCATTTAGAATTCGTCACTTCTTTTTGCCTTTTCGGTTAGTTTCGAAATGGGATTTGGGACCCTTAGAAACAAATTTGAGACAAGGAAAAATGAAGGATTAAAAATGTAGAATCACATATTCCAGACAAAGTTTTGAAAATTGTCATATCTGGAAGCAAAAAGTTGATCATAATGTCTCCTGGGTTGAGGATTAGAAAACAATTGGATTCAAGTTTTACAAAAAAATAAGGTAATCGGATTTTTTCGCCGTTGTCTATAAAATCCGAGTTGGAAATTCTACCAAATTTTCCAATATTTCTAGCAGATTCTGAGATTTTTTTGAGATTTTTGAAAACTTTTATATCTGGAAGCAAACAATTGATCATAATGTCTCCTGGGTTAAGGATTAGGGAAAAATTGGATTTAAAAATTGCAGAAAAGTTTCGTAATCCTTTTTTGTCATTGTCTATAAAATACAACTTTTAAATTTTGATCAAATTTTAAATTTCTCGGATTCTAAAAGTCCTGAAGATTTTGAAAATCCTAAATAATGAAAGATTCTGAAATCCCAGAAGGTTCATGACTTCTGAAATTCCGGAAAAGTGTGACATTATGAAATTTTGAGCTTCTCAGGTTTTAAAATTCTAGAAGATTCTTAAATTCTCAAATTTCTGAAAGTTTTTAAATTCTGAAATTCCAGAAGATTTTTGAATTCTAATATCCGAGAAAATTCTGAATTTTTATAATGCCAGAAGACTGTGGAATTTAGAATGTATAGAATATTCCGAAATTCTTATATTCTTATATTCCAGAAGAGTCTGAAATTCCGAAATTTTGAAATTCTGAAATTCTGAAATTCTGAAATTCTGAAATTCTAAAATTCTGAAGTTCTGAAGTTCTGTAATTCAGAAATTTTGAAATTCAGAAAAATTTGAAAATCTGAAAAATTATAAGATTCAAGTTTAAAATTTTCAAAGTTTCAAATTGTTTCAAAAAGCAAATTCAAATCAGAAATTTTCAGACAACCAAATAAATCTTAACTACAAATCCTTGAACAAAACAATCAAGTCATTGAAAAAATTCAAACTTCCGGTAGGGAATTCTAAAACCCTGAAAAGATATTGAAGATTCTGAGATTTGGTTAAAATTTTGAATTTTAAAATTTTTCCAGACATCCGGAACCTTAATCCTAGATTCTGGAAAAAAATAATCAAAATTCAAACTTCCGCGAATCACGTAACTTTTTTCATTCTTCACAAATTTCCAGATCATCTGATCCTAACCCAAAAAATTTCAAAATGATATCACTGATATATATGTTATAGCTTATGACTCAAAATCATCATCCACCCTCTCTTTTCTCTATTTTCCTTTTCCGTTTTTTCATATATTTTTCATCATAATAATCTAATTAGAATCAGTCTCCGCATTGATGCAAGAGGTACAACACAACAAACAACACAAAAAATGTTTATGCTTAGAAAATGTTAGAAAATGATATGCTTAGAAAATGAGATCCAAAAAGAGGGAAAGAATGAATTCTGAAGAATTGGCTGCGTGCCGAAGTGCAACGTCTTCTAGAAGAATCTTCTAGGAATGTATTCTAGAAATATCTTCTTGAAAACAAAAACAGCAAACTTTGAAGAAGCATGATTTTAGATGTTTAACCTGAAAAGGCCATAATTTTTTTTAGTTCATTTCTCAGAAAATCACATGTTGTACCCACGTTTTCCGTATTCGTGGATCGAATAATAAACCGCAAAGTGGGTCGACAATAAGGGCAATTGACCTGAAAATGTCAAAAAAATTAGGTTTGGGAGTTGTTGGTTTATTGGTTTTGCCTGGGATTGGAGATGGAAGGAAAAGGGGTTTTCAAATATTGAAATTTTAAAAATCTGGAAAATTAATAAAAAAAAACAGGAATTCAAAAATTCAGGAATTCAGGTACTTAGAAATTCATAAATTCACAAATCTAGAAAATTCAGAAACTTTCCCATTTATCCTTTATTTTTGGTTTTCAAGATTCCCATCAAACTTGTACACCCAAAAAAATTGTTAGAAGTTTTCAGAAACGCCTGAAAATTTCAGAATATGCCAAACAAAAGTAGCGCTTCATTTTTGATACTGACAACTTTTTTCCAGCTACCGTAGTTTTAGAGATATGCGCCTTTAAAGAGACGTACAGTGGATACGCAGCTTGTATCGTTTTAAAGGCTCATATCTCAAGAATCGGAATAGCTATCAAAAAGTAGTCAATTACAAAACTAGTTTGAATCTTATCCCCTAGCATTGTTAGTTTTAAAGATATGGGTCTTTAAAGATTGAGAAACCAGCCACTCATCTCTCTTAACACTGCTAGGCGCATTACCTTTAAAGGCGCATATCACAAAAAGTACGGTAACTTCATAAAGGTGTTCTACCGCTATTTTTCGATTTTCTCTGGATTCTTTGACTAATTTCTGATCATATCACCTTTACTAAAAACCTATTTTGTTTACATGGCCCTTCTTTTTCTCTGCCGTCATAACCGATTTGTCAACTACCCCAAAAGTAATCATCTCGACATACTTCAAACCAATTTTCTTTTTTGCCAGGAGAAACGGCATAAATTCGTCAACCTTTTTTCTAATCTGCCTTGACAACAAAAAGACAAAAACAGAATTTGGAAAGAAACTAACCAGGCAAGGACTTGTGAAGAACTCATGATAGCAGGGACTATCAAATGATCGGCTTGATAGAAGTTAGTACAAGTTGTGATTGAGCCATCTGGAAGTTTGGGAAATGGAGGAAATTGAAATTTCAGAAAAACTCAATTATGAAAAGAGAGTGTTTAACAAAATTTTATCAATTTTATCTTTTTTTTTTAATCGAAAATACCGAATCTCCTCTAAAAGTAGCCTACCCGAACCGTCAACTTTGAACTCAATTATCTCGATTTCTATGAGAGATATCAAAATTTTGTCAACTGATAAAATATTTGTGATATTGTGATAAATAGTTTATTAGTTGACAAATTTTTTATATCTCTTACAGGAAATGAGATAATTGAGATTAAAGTTTACCGTTTTGGTGGGCTTCAGAATATACGGTAGTCAATTTGGATGTCTAAAAATTATAGTAGAATTTTTTGTATAAAACTGAAATTTTCAGAGTATACTAAACAAAAATAGAGCTTCAGTTTTGTAGTTGACAACTTTTTTGTACATATTGATTCAAGTGAGATATGCTGCTTCAAACCACGGTAAGTGGCAAAACTAGAACTTCCAGAACATTTGAATACTCACCAATTTTCAATCCAACCATATATGACGCTGGTATTCCTTCTGACATACTAATCAATGTGAAAGTGAACAGAGTCCAGGCAAGACGAGTTCTTGCAGACTTGAAAATTGAAGTTTCCGATGCAAAGCTTCCAACCTGAAAAGTTACAAAAGTTACTGTAAACACTCTAATAGAAGGTCACTCAACCCTTCAACTTTGAGCCCATATATCTCAATTCCTGTGAAAGATATCGAAAACTTGTCAATTAATAAATTTTTCTTCTATTTTTCGCGGTATCTCCAAATTTAAAAGATTTACATAAAAATCAGAGATCAAAATTTTCAATGATGACGAATCTCTCATTGACTAATGCACCAAATGCTTTTAACGAAAAGGTGCTTCGAAATTTCAAGTTCAATGAGGATTGCTGTACTTTTACGAGCTACATTAAGGGATTGTCTTCTTCGTTTTTCGGTTGGATTTCGAAATTGGAAATTTTAGGGACCAGAAAAATTCAAAAACTCACACTTTCCGCTCGATTCTTATAGCAATACAATGCGATCAGCACAAATGACAAGGTGATGATTGGAATGAGGAATGATAACGAAACTATGACAACTGGAAATAGGATTTTTCGGGGAGCCCTTGTTCTGCCAAACTCGAATTTTTATGAGTTTTTAAAAACTAACAAAAATGAACCAAGTTATGAATATTTTTCCGAAAAGTCGAGGATCAGAGAAACCAGACACACTGCGTCTCTAACTCGAAAACTTAAATTCTGAGAATCATATGCATGTTTTTACTCATTTTGAAGCTCAAAGTTTAATGATCTCAAAAATCAGAAATTCATTCAATTTGGAGCCTTTTCAGCAAAGTTATAGTCATTTTTCTGATGTTTCAGCCTTAGCTTGCGCCATAAATTATTTTTCCCATGTCCCCCTCCTTTAAACTGAACAAAAACGGCTAAGATTTTTTTCTCTCAGATTCAATTCGTTATAAATTTTGAAATCTTACACATAACGATATTAATTGCTGCTTGACAATGATCCAGATCACAATAAAATGGGCCTCCTTCTGACTGTTCTGCTGCTTGGAACACAGCTGTCGTCGCCTGATATTCTAATTGAATTTTTAAGTTCACAAGTGCTCACTGATAACAAAATTGATCCGATTAGGTTGCCAATTGCCAGTTTGTACACGGTTCGAACTGATATACAAAGGGAATAGAATATGGGACGAACGGTGGCAAGGTACAGTAGAACGGCTGATCCAACGTAGGATCCTGAACGGAAGTTTTGTTTTGATGTTGAGAGGGGAATAGGGATTTACCTAATAAAGTATAAAAACTGAGATCGTCGATCATGAAAAACAAGAAATAGACAACATAATTGAGAGTTAAAAATTCAACGATGCGAATTGTAAGCATTGCTGAAGCAGCAGAAAGTGAAGATATTCCTCTGCTAACAACGAATACATATTGTTTTCTGGTGCTGGAAATTTAGAGAGAGTTATTATAACGACAGCTACAGTAACCATTTTCTTGCTATCAAAAGTTTTAACAAAATGTTTACAATATTATTGAAAATGTTTTGTCAGTTAGCCTCTTTTTGATATCTTTTACAGGAAATGAGATAAATTGGCTCAAAGTTGACAGCCACACATAATGAGCTTGAAAAAAGAGAGGCAAAGTCAGAGATCTAACCACATAAATTCAGATATTCTTCACTAATTTTTTTTCAAATTATGATACAATTTCAGTTAAAATAAAAACTCACATATCATTCATTTGTATAAAATTAGGCAACAAAACTGTCAAATAATATGCATTTAAAAACAAACCAGTAGTTAATAAAATAAATGGAACCACCAGATTCAGCCAGTAAATGATAACTTCAATAGTGTCCACATACTGAAATTTCAACATTTCTCATACCTAAAAATGGGTAGATACCTGAATAAGATAACAGGGATCTGTCGCATTGGTACAATCCAGAAAGTAGGGCTCGTAGACGGAATGATACGAGCAATTCTCAAATAAATTTTTCATTTTCCCAGCAGAATTTTAGGTGCAAAACTATTGTAGTTTTGTCTGTCTTATCAGTAGTGTCAGAAAATGCGGGGATGGGGATTATTAACACATTTTTGAAACATTTCGATTTTTTTATTCTTTAGTCATTCCGGAAGATTTTTTGACTCATTGGAAGTCATGGATTCCAGAAATTTGGCATAATAAACTTGAGATCGGTTTATGTGATGTGTGACTTTGTTCATGATGCTGTGGTCGAAAATTACACTAGCCAAGGGGTCAAGGATTAAGACTATCGCCCTGAAATTGTTTTTTTTTTTTTTGGAAAACGGCAGTGACAAGGTGCGCGCCAACGGACGCTTGGCGCGATTCGCGTGCTGCTGGCTCCTTTCTTGCAGCATTCGCATTTTTCAAGCTTTGTCTTTGTCTGAAAAATGTTCTGCTTTGTTTTTTTTTGAAAATCTATTTTTAGCTATTTTAGACAAGGTGTTTGGCTATTCAAAAAATGCCAAAAGATGAATTTTGATGAAATATGAGCTGTGTTATTAGCTCTCAAACATTTAGTACCTTTTTTTTACATTCCTAATTCAAGTGTTCCGAACTTTTCCCATATTAAAAAACATTTTTTTAATTCGGAAATTTCCAAAAATTCGGGTTCCTGAAAATTTGGGTTCCTGAAATTCTGAAACTGTGAAATTCCGAAATTCCACGTTTCTGAATTTCAAAGTTCTGAAATTTCAAATTCTGAAATTCTGAAACTCTGAAACTCTGAACAACTGAAATTCCGAAAATAAGAATTCTGAAGTTCCAAAGTTCTCAAATTCCGGAACTAGGAATTCTGAAGTTCCAAAATTGTGATATTCCAAAAATCCGAATTTCTGAAGTTTCAAATTCTGAAACTCTGAAATACAGATATTTCAAAATTCTGAACATCCAAATTTTGAAACTCCGAGAATCGAGATTCTAAAATTTTGAAATTCTGAAATTCTGTAATTTTGTAATTTCGAAAGTTTTGAAATTTCGAAATTTAGAATTGAACCAACTAAAATACTTCAAACGCATGTAACCCAGTTCATATTTTATCAAGTTGTATGATTATGTATTTATTGGAATAGACAAAAACCTTGTCTATAATTGCTAGAAAATATAATTTTTAACAGCAAGGTTTTTAGACAAAAACAAAGTTGAAAAATTCGAGTGCTGCGAGACAGGCGCCAAGCGCCCTTGGCGCCCAACTTGTCACCGCCGGGTGCGAGACTCACCAAATAATAGAATCAATTGATGTGAATACGGTAATCTGGACCAGCCGATCCGCCTGATAGAAATTGTTACATGTATTGAGAACACTATCCGCTTTGAGACCAATAAGAAAACTAGAAGGAATTCCTTCGGCAAGAGAAATCACAATTATTGCTGTAAGTGTCCATCCGAGACGGATTCTGGCATGATGAAGAGTTTGAGAAGACGTGTAGCTTCCTATTTTTTTCGATTGGTGAATATGAAAACTTAGGCAGATGAAAACGAATATTAGAATTAGAATGGTGGCGGAGAATGCTAAGCTGACGATTACAACTGGAAAAATTATAACTGAGTTTTTTTTTTAATTTTTCGGATCTTACAGTTAATAAGCCCAACAACCGGAGCACAATGGTGAGATTCGCATTGAATTGGGCCGGGGATATAAGTGGCTGTTTGAAATGCACCAAGAGGAACTGATATTAAAATGGCTAGGATTACATTGGAAACTGCTAGAATATAGATATTTCGAACAGTAAGACGCCTGGAGAAATAGACTGGATGAAGAACACCAATGTATAGAAGGATAGCCATTCCGATATAAGATCCTGGAAATTTGAAACATTTTTAAAAAATTTCATTTTTCTAATTAATGGTTCATTGTTCTCCTAGGTAAACGACCTGTCACCATTTGATGGATTCATGGTATTTTCTTATTCACCTTGCCACATTCATGTCAAAATATCCCCCACAATTTCGGTTTTTGCCTCCTTATTGCTCATCTGATGACGCAAACAATACTCTAAAAGTGTAAAAAAGGGCGAAGTTTCCCACGGGGAACGATTAGCCAGGTCCAGGTGGGATGAGCCCCACCCCTTTTTTCCAAAGGGTCTCAGAAGAACTCAGTTTAGTTGTTCGAAGTTTGGGAGGTATCTAGTTGGGTAATGGGCTAGTTGGTCTGATCGGTCAGTTGTACTTCGGTTCATACTGGAAGAGCTTATCACTAGAACAGGACTTCAACTTTTAATACTGAGGATCATTCTGAGGACATACACACACAGTTCGAAGTTTAGGAGGTATCCAGTTGGATGTTTAAATACAGTAAGTAACAAAAGAAACTATGAAATTTTGAAAATTTTTATATCAAAATTTTTTTCAAAAAAAAACAATTTAACATTTACACAAATTTGGTTAGTACAAAACCTATTATAGAAGGACCCTCTTACTTTTAACTTTGAGCCAATATTACTCGCTCCCTGTTAAAGGTATCAAAAAGTTGTCAACTGGTAAATTGTTTAGCATAAAATCACCAAAATTCTATCAGTTGACACAATTTTGATATCTTGCCTAGGAATTGAGATAATTGAGCTCAAACTTAATAGTTTGGGGGCCTAACTATTACAGGTTTTACAATAGTTGTTAAAAAATTTTGGCATTATTCTAGACAACATTTTGACCTGTTTTGTGTTTCTATTAGTTCTTTACGAGACTCTATAAAAAATGAAAAATAAAATTCCGAAAATTTCAGTATGCTCAAACAAATTCGGAGAATTTTCTCAACACCTGAAAACTCACCTTGTAAACTATAAAAACTAATATTATCCGCAATAATAACAACCGCATAAAGCCAATAACTCGACGTCTCCGGTGGAAAATAAACATAGAGAATGCATCTCAAAATGAGAAGAGTTAAAGCAGCACTGATAGACGAAACACATCGACTGATAACGAATATATATCTCTTCCTAGTCTCATAACTCATTTTCCAATACAATGGAACACAAATCCATAGAAAATAAATATTAATTATCAGTGCCAGTAGAAAAAGAGTGCATGTTATGTAGAAATCAAGAATAGTTAATAGCTGAGCAACAACTGCAAAATCATGAATCAATTCACACGGGCGGGATGTATTTGTGCAGTTTTGAAAGTATTTTTCAATTGGATAATGGTCGGTGCAGTTGGAGAAAAGGTCTCCCATTTTTTGAATGGGAAAAAGTACTTGATTGATAAGGAAAGACGGAATTTGTAGAAAAGATTAGAGTGCTGCAGGAATGATTGAATCATGTTTCTTTTGACTTTCGAAATTTACCTTATTAGTTTGTGACAACCTGAATGAAATCATTTCCTCTAAAATAGTGTTTAGGGAGAAAAAAGGAGGATTCAATGATTTTATTTTAAAGGAGGCGAGACAGCAAAAATTTCGGGGGCAGTTGGGGGGCCGAAATATTATGTAGACCATGAAAGCAGACCAAAAGCTTATGTAGACCATCGGTCGTCAGGCGCCTTAGCGCCCCCGTAGCTCAGCCGGCACAGGTCCTGGGCGCGCATACGCAAAATGGATGGGCGACGGAGGACGCGCCGATGAATTGGGTACAGAGAAAGGACGCCGGTATGGAGCATATACGGGGCATATGGGGCACACCACCGCCGCAAAGCATCTCCTCGCCTGGCTTGCTGGCACTCGATGAAATGAACTAAAACGTGGGGTTCCTAGAAGTATCAGTTAAGTTCTATTGTGATGTGATTTTGTTCAGGTCTTCCGATTTCGTACTTTTCCTTTATTATTCCATATATTTTTTTAATATTTTGAACGACATATTACTGATTTTTCGAAACTCAATGTTTTGGTTTTGAAAAAGACTTATGGTAGTTTCCATTTAAATTTGATATGCAAATTCATGTTTTAAAAATACAATCAAAAACAGAAGAAAATGGGAAAAAATTCGCTAAAAATTGTTTTTTTTCATTTGTTCAAAAAATACTTTTTTTGAAATTGCATGAAAAATTGAAAATTTTTATAATTTAAACTTTTTAATTATTGTATACTTACCAACTTACCTTTTATTCCACCTAAAAATACGATTTTTACAATAATTACAAAGTGAAATCAAAAAATCTCAATATCACCTATTTTGGCGAAAAACATAGCAATTAACGAGTGAAAGACATGTTTCTGCAAGAATTCAGCGATTTTTTAGTCTGCCATAACTCTTTTTCACAAAAAACATCGAAAGAATAATCGAAAAACCAGAAATTTAGGCTCGAATTGACGAAAAATTGACAAATTTGCCGGTGTGGATTTACGGTAAACAATGGGCGCATCCGGGATTTCGGGGTGTTGTAGTCGGCCTATCGTATCAGACCCATATCGCACACATCGCCCACCCACCCAGAATCCATCTAGGATACGCGCGCATTCGGAACACTCGATTCAGCCTCTCCCGCATCGCACACATATGAGACTCATCGCAGCTCGTTGTTCGCGATATGTGTCAAACGGACTTCTAGAGGATCGCATATGGATCGAGTCCTTTATGCGCATCATCGCCCAGGACCTGTGAGTAGCGGCGCTGTACCCCTGAGCTGCCTGACATGAGTTCAACCCCTCATGGTGGTTCTCTATGCAAAATATCAGGAAAACTTTTTTTGGTGTCTGGCCTCCTTTAAGCAGGGACTGATGCATGGGCAAAGTTCAAAAAATGTCACTGATGCATGGGCAAAGTTCAGAAACTAGCACAAATTGAGTAAAGTTGCTTGAAGAGGCATTTTCCTTCAAAATAGGCATTCGGAACTCCAAGTATCCTGCAAGCAGTATATCTCATTTTGACGGATTAGTACAGAAAAGTTGATCACAACAAATTTCTAGCTCTATTTTTGGTTGATAAAGATCAAAATTTTCAGACTGATCCAACAAAAATTACTATATTTAGAAGTCATTCAAAGTTTACTACCGTACTTCTTCTCATAGATGCCAACCCAAGCCGTCTACTTTGAGCTCAATTATCTCAACTCCTATTCAAGCTATCAAAAAAGTGCCAACTGACAAAACACTTTTGATATTATGATAAGCAATTTATCAGTTGCTAACTTTTTCATATCTTTGACAGAAATCGAGAAAAAATCGCTCAAAGTTCAAAGCTCGAGTGCCCTTCTATTACAGAGTTTACGGTAGTTGTCCGAAGACTTCATACTCAAAAATACGCCAGATTTTGCCAATTTCCTCCACTCTCGAAATCCCACAACATTTTCAGAATCTTCTATTTCCGTTATTTTCTTTGTTTTTGCGCTATTACCTAACAAGTAAGAAGTATTCTTTTTTCTTCCAGGTCCCTAGATTTTCGTAGGATTTCGAACTTTCAAAGGAGGTCGACCTACTGTCCATATTATTGTCATTTCTTTAGATCTTATCTGTCTTTAATTATACTAATTCTACTGCTTTTTACAACTCTTACTCCTTCACCTCGACCAATGTGAAGGGGACACCTGGAACACCCTAGCCGGGTGTGATGGGAACCTCCCCCAATTTCCCAGGGACCAAGATGGTAGACTCCGCCCACTTGCGATGTCGATGTGTTCGATTCTGACTACCACATAATCATTCTGCCTCATTTCTGAGTACACTGTTCACTGCTCTTACCTTCTGTCTACTTTCAATTTACTACTGTAACTATGTCTCGCCTTACTGGACGTGTGTCTTTCCAAGGACAGGAAAACTGCTATTCTTCCTCGAACTATCGTCGTATGGACAATCAGGATGTCCGTCGTGGAAATGGAAACAACTATCGTCAACCGTTCCGATCCGAAGACAATGAGGAGAGATCAAAACCACGTGGAAAGGGAGCTGTCAGATATCAAGGAACTTATAGTGATAGATTCCATCGCCAGGATCAGAACAAGGATTGTTGCTCATCGGATCAAAACGAAAGAATTGGAATGAAAGGATCGGATCGATGCACTGGACCATCTCAATCTCAAGATAAACCAATCACTCGTAAGCCAACTCAAAGAATCGAGGATGTGATTCCACCTGAGGAACTTCTGGAAGTGGAAGATCTTATCGAACAGATCAGTGATTTGAGTATCCGAAGTGATCGATCAGCATCCCAAATCAAGAGAAACATCCTTGCAAGTGACCTATTTTTGGATACAATGGACATTGATGATTGGGAAAAAGTTTGTAAATCCATGATCGAGACAGCTCTCGATAAAGGAGAAACCGAGTTCATTGCAGACTTAATGGTCGTTCTTCTTAGTAAGTTTTCCTCATTTTTTGATTCATTTAATTTAATTTTTTCAGAAAATCCAATTTTCGCTGCTGTAATGTCAGATGAATTGATGGATGCTTCATCTAAATACATAATGGAAAAAGACGGAAAACCAATTCCATCATTCCTATCTTCTATCCTCTGTGCTCATTGGCCAAGACAATATTTCAAAGCATTCGACAATGGAATCCAATTCTGTATACTGTTGTTTGTATTGTCAAAGGATGGATTCTCGTTGTTCAAGAAGATACCCAAAGATACTTCAGTAAGCCAGGAGAATCGAAAAACACTCCACAAATCATCGAGACTCCCGAAATGGTCAATTTGTGTGCCGTCGCTCTATCGGATCTTTGTGAATCGGCTCAACGTCAACTCTGGATCAATTGGGCGTCTCTTACTGATGAAATCTATGAATGCATCAAACCATCAATCACTCACAATCCAAATTTAACTGGAGAATCCAAGGAACGTCTTCTGGATACACTTCTTCAGATGACACAATGGACCAAGAATCGACAGGCTTCAATGAAGAGTTCAGGTGTTCAAACTGTCTCTTCCGGATGTTAATTTTCTTCTTGTTCTTGTTTGTGGATTTTTTGTAAGTTAAAATTTTCCTGTTTTTTTTCTGTGTTATCTTTTCTTGTATTGATTTCCACTGATTCAAAATAAACTTAATAATTGAAAATAGAGAATTTTATTAGATTAAAAGACAAAAAAGGAGAATTAGAGATTTACGGGGGAAAAGATGAACATGTAATTTTGGGAGTAAGTGAGTGAAGGTTTAGAAATATACAAGTAGATGAATTAAACATTTATATTAGGAGCTTCCAAATTGAGAACTATTTTTGAGAAGTTGATCGAGTAGCTGAAGGGGGCGATGAAGGGTTACTTCGATCCAGCATGGGGTTTCCTGAAATTTATTATTTCAATTTTCCAGAGTCATAATTCAATACGGTACCTTAATAGTCTTTCTGTTATAAATATCTCCCCAAGCTTTCACGAATGAAATCGCAATTGTGCAGAAATCACGACGCATTCTATCCACTCCACTATCTGGCATTATTGCTGGCATCACGGACATCTGGAAACACAGACACACGTAACAGAATATTTCTTTCACCTTTGCTTACCGGTGCATATCCAGCAACTGCTGCTGCTTGAGCTCGAACTGCCTCGTTACTGGATTCACTGCGTCGAAGCATTTGTGCGTACGCCCATCGAATATCGAATACCTAAAAAGTTAATTAGTTAGTTATCCAGCCTGATTAGGGACTAATTACTGTGAATGTGGGTTCGTTGGCTGTGAAGCGATGAGCTATGCTGCTGTACTCAGATCCTTGGGTGTAGTCTAGGTATCCGGAACGGACAAAGATTTTGCAGTTCGAGGTGATGGAGACGTTTCCGTCGGCATGGGCGGTTAGTTCGACTCCACCGCCGATGTGGATTCTGGAAAAAAAATGTTTTTAGGGTATTTGGATTTTTCAAATGTCCTTCATAAAGCTCTAGATTTGTAAAACATCCCGTGAATGCTTTAGTAGAATCCACCCTATACTTTCAATTTGAGCTCAATTATCTCGGTTCCTGTCAAAGATATCAAAAAGTGGTAATCTAATAAAATGTGTATCATAATATCATTAGCATTTTTTTGGTTAACAATATTTTGATAATTTCCAAACGAACCGAGATAACAGAGCTATAATTTAATAGGTCGGTAACCGACTGCGTAGCTCAGCCGACTTGTCAACCTTGAGCTCAATTATCTAGTTTCCCATGCGAGGTATCAAGATTTTGTCCCAATTAAAACGTTTTTCACAATACCACTAACATTTTATCAGTTGACCACTTTTTGATATCTTTTGAAAGAGCTGAGTTAATTTAGCTCAAAGTGCACTTATAAGCTGGACAAAGAATTTACGGTAAATTTAAGATTCCATAGAATTCCAGAAAGACCCAAAATCTTAAGTTTTTAGAACCTTTCTCACCTTGCTTTCTCACTAGCCTCCGTCCTGTGAACATTAGAAAGTGCTCCGAGACAAAAGCGTCCTTCATTCTCCCCATGTGGATCCATCCCACCATCGACCACGATCTTTCCATGATCCAAAGCACTGACCTACAAGTTCCTATTTTAGCAGAATCTATAAATGATGGTTACCTTAAATGTCTCTCCAATTTGTGTATCCAGCTCATAATAGATAATAGAACACCAGTTATCCAATGGTTGAGAAGGAGTTGGCACTATTATTTGACCCAAATCCACTGGAATTTCTGATACTAATGGTTGGTTGAGTAGAGGTGATGTGTGCTGAGCGTTTTGGCTTGGGAATCCGGCTGAAAACATATTTTTGAAAAACTCCAATCCCGACTACTGTAGTTTTACCATTGAAATTATTATCAGGAGGAGTATTCGGCCAATCTCCATAATTTGATTCCATCATGCCCTGCTCTCCTCCCATATACTCGTTTTTCGATGGTAAATCTCCACCATGAAGTGTATGATCTGCGCTGGTTATCCGATTTGAAACGACTCTTTCGTAGTGATAAGGATTGATACAAATATTGTCAGGATGATCAATTGATGTCTGACATTGGACTAGTTTCTGAAATAGAAGATATGGAATAGCTGCGAAACATTTTTAGGGATTACCACAAGCTCATTTTTGCTAACTTTTGGCCAACGCCATATTCTTGCATAGACGACATGGGGAACACCTTTTCGGCCAGCAACCTGGAGACGTCCGTCTAGGGATCTCTGAAAATTACCAGTGTTTATTTTATATACCTAACGTTTTTTGAATTTATTCTAAACCTGCAAGAACTCAAATATTCCAAAAAGTACTAACCTGAATTGTAACGCATCCTGTTGGCTGTTTCCCGTTTGACGTAACTGCCGTAATCAACGAATCCAACTCAATTCGTTTATCTTTCAACTTTTTCACCAGTGATTCGATGGCTTTCCGCACAAATTCACTGTCCTCACCACCCTAAAAATGAGTGATTATACGAGTTAAAATGTTTGCATTTGAAAAGACGAATCAAAAAAATCCACAGCTACCTTTTCGCCGATACAGTAGTATTTTTGTTTGTACTACGGTTTTCAAAAGCGTTCCAAAAGAAATAAATTACCTGTTGGTAACACTGTAGAACATGTGAAATCTGTTGGCAAGAGTCCATAGCCGTTGTGATAATTGCTCCGGCATTCTGCCCATGAGATGGATTTTGATTATTTGATACTTGTATAGATTGTTGAATCGGTTTCTGTGGTTTTTGAGATTGAGGTGGTGGTGGAGCGGAGGCTACAGTAGGTGTTGAAATTGGTGCCGGACCGGGCGGTGTGAAGACACATGGATTGTTGTTGTTGTAGAGAAGTTGAGTAGGTGGTTGTTGAGGAGGTTGTTGTTGAGAGGGAAGAATCATTGATCCAATGAATCCATTAAATGGAGGTGACTCATCCATACTACTCGTTTGGTGCATGTTGTGGAGGTTGGGAGCATGATGAGGGGTATAGAGAGATGGTTGGGGGATTGGGACGGGGAACTGAAAGAAGTCAGAATTTAAAATTCGATTTTTAATAGTTTTGCCGATTTCGGATGTCTGAAAAAATAGCAGATTTTTTTCAGATAAGACGGGAAGTTTAAAGATGTACTGAAATACATAAAACAGAGCTTCAAAATTCATTCAAATGAGATATACCTTTGAAAATTCACATGTCGGAGCTCAGGGCTATTTTTGGCACTTGGATGGTTTCAAGTGGTATATCTCAGTAATGTTTTACAAAAAAGTTGTCAATTACAATATTTTAGCTCTATTTTTGTTTAGTATACCCTGAAATTTTCAGACTGATAACGCAAAATCTACTATATTTTTTGATCTCGAAAGTTGGCAATTTTCAACTAAAAACAGTGCAAAAATATCCGTTATGAAAGTTTTCTGAAATCTTTCTGAATTCATAACTTGCCGTTTCAAAAATTCGGATCTTTAATGAGTATTTTTTTGCGATTTATGAAAATTTCCATTTTTCGAAATTTCCAAAAATCGGAGCTTGGAAACTTTTAATTTTTGGAATTTTTCGGATTTTCAATTTTTTCGGAATCTTCGAATTTTTTTTGACAAAAATCCGAATTTGGGAAAACATGAAATTTTATACTCATTTTAAAGCTGAAAAGTTGTTGATCCCAAAAACCTGATTTTTGTTTGATTTGGCTAAAAACTGACAATGATACAGTAATTCAATCATTTCTAGGTGCAATTATTCTACATTTTTTCGAAAAATCATTTTTTCGATTTATTTCAGGTTTTAACATTCTTCATTGTGATTTTAAAGGTATCAGTATACCCCATTCTTCTGAAGAATTTCATGAAATTTCAATTTTGCTAACCTGATATCGATTATGCGAATTGTTAAAATACTGCATTCCACACAGCAAATTGGACTGATAGTCAATTGGTGTGTACTGAAAACTGCTGCGTTGATTGAATTGAACACCTACAGTAATGTAATCTTACCTGAACCATTTGCTCCGATCCATACAACTGATCGTAATACATTGGATTCGAAGTGGATGGTTGGGATGTCATCCCTGGATCAAACATGACTTTTAGTGGCGAGAATAAGAAGAGGAGGTTTAGTGGTTGAAAAAAAGAAAACGGATAGAAAGGGAATGATAGCAAACGGAGTGGGCGGAGCTTAGAGGAGCTGATGGAAGAAAATTGGGTTAAAAAGGGGTTGGGCTTGGAAGAAGGGAACGGTGAGTCTTGAGAAAATTGCTAATGAAGAATAATTGTGATTCGAGGTGACAACAGAATTCAAGGATGGAAAATAAAGAGGCGGAGACTGATTCATCAAACAGAAAAGAAGAAAAAAGATCTTGAAGATCGGGAAAAAGGAAGAAGAGAGCGATAGAGGTGTTCTAGTTGAAAAAAGTGTTTGGATAGGATTATGAAATAGGATACGGTGATGTGGAAAGGATTGAGAAGCGGTTTTGGGATTATCAGAAATTTTAGATTTAGCTTCTGAGTTGGAAAATTCAATTTGAGGAAATTTGATTTTGGATAGTTAAAGAACCCAAAAGTTCGTGAAGTTCAGAAATGTCCCAAAAGATGTTACCGTATTCTTTCTAAAAGAAGCTCGTTCTATACGTTCACTTTGAGCTCAATTATCTCGATCCCTATAAGAGATATCAATAAGTGGTCAACTGATAAAATATAGATGATGTTTTGATAAATAATTCATTAGTTGACAAATATTTAATATCTATCACAGAAATCGAGATAAATGGGCTCAAAGTTGGAGGTTTGGGTGTGCTTCAGTTAGAGGAAATACGGTAACACAACTACATGGAAGAGCTGAGTCTATTTTAAACTTTTGTCAAAAAAATATTCAGAAATTTCAGCAAAAATGAACAACGGAGAGCTAAAAATCGTGAAAATGTAAAAAAAATAACTTTTAACTCGAAATCGGAATATTGAAGTCTGAATTCCAGATTTCCCAAACTTTTCACTTTCAGAATTTTGATGTGAAAAATTTTTGTGGTAAAAAACAACAACTTTATACTTCAACAATGCCATAAATCAAGTTTACACAAAGTAACTCTGACTCATTTTTGATTGATAAAAGATCATTCTAAAAATAGATTTTTTCGAACACCTCCGCAAAAAAGCTACAATAAATTTTCCTGCAGTTTTGCTCAATCATCTCGGTTCCTTTAAAAGATATCAAAAATCAGCCAACTGATAAAACACTGTTGATATTATGATAGACATTTTATCAATCGGCAGATTTTTGATATATCTTACAGAAACTTAGATAATTGAGGTCAAAGTATGAGGAGTATTGGTGGTATCGTATTTTCTACTAGAGCCCACCCATACTTTGAACTTAAATATCTCGTTTCTAGTAAAAGTTATTGAAAATATGGTGAATGATAAAATATTGGGGATATTATGATAAATATTTTACCAGTTATAATTTTTTTGTTATCCTTTAAAGGAACCGAGATAATTGAGCTCAAAGTGTAAGTACATATTCTATGGTTATTTACACGTTTCGTAGGATAGTTCATCCGACTGATTCCAGATTGTCTGGATCTTTGAAACATCAAGATCTTTTTTTTTTTTTTCTTCAACTCAACCCAGAATTAACCAAAAAAAAGTACTAAAGTACACCCCGCATCAAAACGAACTATTCGCTTAACCAGTCACTCAAAAAATTATGTTTTCCCGAAGAGTTCAAAGTCATCTGACGCTGGAAAGTAAGTCATGCCATATGTATGATTTTTCTAGACTCTTTTTTGTCTTTTTTGTTTCATTGAAAATGATAAAAGGGCAATCGGAGAAGGAAAAGACAAAGAGGGGAGCATTATAGGAAACAGTTATGACGTAGGAAAAATAAAAATTTGCGTTGGGAAAAGAAAAAATTAGGGAATCGGTAGTTTCTACTGATTAGAGACAGAAAAGTTATGGGGTTTGTAGGTTGGAGTACAAAAGATTAAATTACGGTAGATCAAAAATATTTTGGGAGTTTTGTTGAAATGGGTGGCTAGAAATTGAGATTGACTAATCGCTCTGAAAATTTCAGAAGACGTTAAACAACGAAAGTTTCAAAAAAATTGCTGAATCTTGAAAAGATCGCTTCAAAAGAATACTATATAGAAGTTGTCGATTTCTGGAAATTTCCAGAAGGTTCTCGATAAGTTTCTAGGATTATAAGCGATTCTGAGCCATTATATTTCCTGGCCATTTTTTGAAAAGTGTAGAAAAATGGAAAAAGGGAGACTTTCAGTTTTGGTAGGAATTCAAAAAAAAAAGAGAATCTTCTAGAATTTTCCAGGAATTGACAATTTTCAGATTTTTCCATTTGAAGCAATTTTTCGAGGTTATGCGATTTTTTACTTTGAGCTCAATTATCTCGGTTCCCATCAGAGATATCAAAAATGTGTCAACTGATAAAATGTTTGTCGTAATATCAGCAACATTGTATTAGTCAGCAAATTTCTGATATCTTTTACAGGAACCAAGATAAATTAGCCCAAAGTGAAAGTATAGGGTGGCTTTCTATTAGAGTGTACGGTATTCAGAAGAGTTACATCCTAGTCGTCAATTTTAAGCCCGTATATCAAAATTCCTGTGAGAGATATCGAAAAGCGATCAACTGATAAAATATTTCTGATATTATGATAAACAGTTTATCAGTTGATCACTTTTTGATATCTTATATAGGAAACGAGATATATGGGCTTAAAGTTAAAGTTTGGGTGGCAGGCTATTATAATAGTTTTTTAGGTATTTTTTTCGGAAATTGAGTAAAATTGACACAAACTGACGGTTGAGGTGCAACTCTATTAGAGGTTTTCTTCAGCTTCACCTATTCCAATTTCAAAATTCCCAACTATTCCAAATGCGCTCTACCGAACCGCTTTCGTGACTTCCAAAAACGTCGTGTAGCCGGAAAATGTTATTCACAACAACGAGAAAATTGGTTGTGAAAGAGAACTGTCCGCTCAGTGAGGACGGCTCATCGATCAATTTAATTCGAAGCCGTCACACCTAATTTGTGTAAGATGTGTGTATGTGCCCATATGTTCTTCTTCTCTGTTTCCTGCTGCGTCTCTACGGCGCCATAGGCGAGACGTGGGAGATAGAAAAAACACAGAGAGTACAGTTCATAGAAATCGGCGGAAAGGTTAACGAGGGATATTCGTTTTCAAAACGACCACCCTAAAACTCACAAATGCGCAAAAGGCACGCCAGACTTGTTTCTTGCAGAAAAGCCATAAATAGAACGAGAGCTATCAGTTAGTGATATAATAGAAGTGATATCATTGAGCGGAAGGAAAAGAAAACAAAAAACGGAAATGAGGTGAGAAGAAATGGCTCGAACAATCGAAAAAGAGAGAAAAAGGTTATTGATTAATTGGGTTATCAGTTGAAGAGAGAGCAAGAGCACATGTCATTTTTGGAGTTTGATAGTGTAAAGTTCCGAGAGACGCAGGGGTGTTGAGCATTTTCAGAATACAAAAGAGAGAGTGACCGGAAAATGTTGCAGTTTCGGCGTGTGAAACGGAGCGAGAGGCATTTTGTGCTCTGAAGGGTTACAGTAATCCAGAAAACTAAAAAAGTAGATTTTTCAAAGTTTTTCTGCTTCGAGAACCTCTCGAAAAACCTTGTAATTATACTTCAGATTCTCTTGTATGGTCCAAATTCAAATAAACGGAAATTCCTCATTAGTTTTTCATCGATTCATAAAGAATTCAAATGTGGCTAATTCGCTCCAACGGAATTTCAAAAATGGACATTTTTTCCCGATTCTATATTTCATCCGAGAACATGAGATTCAGAACTTCTTTCAGATTTTATCCTCAATAGTTTATAGACGCCACCCTATATATTCTCTTTGAGCTCAAGTATCTCGGTTCCTGTCAGAGATATCAAAAAATAGTGAACTGACAAAATATTTCTGATATTATGATAAACAGTTTATCAGTTGACTACTTTTTGATACATTTTATCTAAATCGAGATAATTGAGCTCAAAAAGCTAGAATAAGGTAGCGAACATTTGCGGTTCATTCAGATTTTTAGCTACATCGAGGAAGTTTTTTAATAATCCCAAAAAAAAAGTATTCTTTAAATTTAGATATTAAAACAACAAATAAATCCGTTAGGGTTATCCGCAATCATTACTTTAGGAAACGAAGTGGGGAATTAGAAATCCGGAGTTTTCCGTAGACACTCCAATAGAATGATCCCCTATTTTTCAACTTTGAGCTCAATTATCTCGATTCGTGTGAAAGATATCAAAAAGTGGCAAACTAACAAGATGTTTCTGACGTTACGATAAGCATTTTGTCAGTTAAAAACATATGATATCTTTCACAGGAAATGAGATATATGGCCTCAAAGTTGGCGGTTTGGAGGGCATCCTATTGGAGTGACTACGATTTAACCAAATTTCCGGACATGTTCTGAGTATTGGCTACTGGTATTAAACTTGAAATACAACTACGTGATTCCAAGAAACCCACTTCCAAACAAAAATTCCCATGATTCTCGTTTGTCACCTTAAAAGTGCAAACGCGTTCTATTTGATCTTGTTTCGGGTGTCAAATGGTTGTCTATTTTTCTCTCAAAAAAGGGTCGTAAAAGTGTCCGCTCAATCGATTTCACAGGTTCTTATCGCTTCTCTTCAAACACCACCATTTCGATGAGTTATGGCAGATTTACAACCAATTAGGTCATCATGGATCATGCACGTGAATTCTTTTTTTGGTCGGAAACATTTTTCGGGAGGAGCAGATGAATGGAAAGGGAAAGATGAATGGAAATAGAAAAAGTTGCAAATAAATTGAATTCATAAAAATTCTGAAATACCTGAGATTGATTTCAGACTTTTTGGGTTTATAGATCCTCAAGATTCTTGAGAATCGTGAGAAGTTTAAAGAAATTATGGTATTCTCAATTCTGGTATTCTCAAATTCAGAATTTCAGGACTTCTCAAAAAACCAGGTTCTCCCGATCCTTCCAAAAACCAGAATCTCAGAATCATTCAAAAACCAAAATTTCAGATTTTTTCAAAAAAAA